TGCAAAGGACAAATCGAGTCCGGAGATGTTGAGATAGAGAAGTACGCCAATAAGCCTCCCGTAAGATGTGATATCTTCGAGAGGGCGATATCATCGGTAGCTAAGTGAGTGCGAGGGTGCATGGGAGTTTTGGCGAGCTTACAAGCAAGGAAGCCGGTATCACTTAGTAGTTCGAGAGCATATTTGCGTTGGCATAGATATATCCCGGACTTTGTTCTTGTAACTTCCAAACCAAGAAAAAAATGAAGATGGCCAAGGTCTTTGATCTTAAACATATGGTGCGAGAAACGTTTCAAATCATCAATCCAAGCCATACTATCACCGAGCAAGGATTATATCATCAACATAGACTAATGCAAGAATGAAGCCGGATGTGTTGGATTTAATGAAGAGAGAATGGTTAGAAGTTGCTCGTGTGAAGCCTTGCTGTAATAGAGCCTCCGAAAGTTTGAAAAACCACTCGTCGACTAGCTTGTTTGAGACCATAGATAGACTTTAATAATCTGCAAACTCGATTTGGTTTAGGAGAAGAATATCTTGGTGGGAGGTCCATGTACACTTCTTCATGCAAGTCACCATGAAGAAATGCATTATTGACATCCAATTGTTGTAAGAACCGGTTCTTAGCGACGACGAATGGCGAGGAGTGTTCTAACGAGTAGTAATTTTTGCAACAGGAGAGAAAGTTTCCAAGTAATCGATTCCATTTTGTTGAGTGTAGCCCTTGGCCACAAGCCTAGCCTTATGTCTTTCAATGGAGCCATCAGCTCCGTGTTTAATCTTATACACCCACTTACATCCAATGGATTGTTTGGAAGCGGGTAATTTAGTGAGCTCCCAAGTCTTGTTGTCTCGAAGAACAGTTAACTCGGCTCGCATGGCATCCGTCCAACAAGAATGATGAATGGTTTGATTGTATGTGGTGGGAGTGGAATGAGTACGATGTTAATGGCAAAAAGTCGATGGCAAAAAGGAACATGAGAGTAAGATAAAACGAATTTAAACAATGAGGAGAAGAGAGTAACGATGATGTAGATGCCCTCGAATGAGCAAATTTCATACCGATGTAGAAGAAGAGGAGGATTGAGTTAACAATGATGCAAGGTTGTAGTGATAGTCTTGAAGGTAGGAAGGGGTCATGCGAGTTCGGTGGATTTGCGTAGAGGAACGGGGAGTAGTGAAAGGCGCCGGGGAAATAATAGGAGATTGAGGTGCACCGATGTTAGTATTGGAGATACTTGTAATAGGAGAAGTGTCATAGAGGGGATCAATATGAAAAGTGGTAACGGGATAAGAAGAAGGTATATCATTACAAGAGGAGGGTGTATCCCGGTAGCAAAATGAAGGTGAATGAAAGGGAAAAATGGTTTCATGAAAAATAACATTTCGGGAGACAAAGAATTTTCTAGTGTGAAGGTTATACGACCTATATCCTTTAATTCCATAAGGAAAACCTAGAAACATGCACTTAGTGGCCCTACTCGTCAAATTTTGATCTATCTTTGATCAATTGTGGAAGCAAACATAAACAACCAAAGACCTTGAGATTTACGAATGAGGGTGGTTTATGGTATAATAAATCAAAAGGTGTATGATTATTAATTACGGGGGAAGGTATTCGTTGATGAGGTAGACGACATGAAGAACACAATCACCCTGGAAGGAAAAGGAAAGATGTGCTCGGAAATGTAGAGCTCTAGCAACATTTAAAATATGTTGGTGCTTCCTCTCCATAACATCTTGTTTTGTTGGGGAGTATAAGCACGTGAGGTTTGATGGACAATGCCTTGACCGGCATAAAAATCGACATGGCAAATTCTTGTCCCCGATCACTACGAATGCATTTAATAGCAAGGGAGAATTGTGTTTTAATAAAGATGCAAAAATGTTGAAGTAGTGATGCGGCCTCAATTTTAGTTTTCATGAGAAAAACCCAAGTAGCTCTACCGAAATCATCAACGATGGTCGGGAAATATTTGTGTCCATGAATGGTACAAGCGGACATAGGGCCCCAAATATCGGTGTGAATTAGATAGAAACAAGCATTTGTAACGAAGTATCGACGGGGAATGGTAATTTCTTTTGTTTAGCAAAATGACAAACATCACAAATTACATCGAGTGAACTGAAATAGAGGGATCTATAGCTTGTAGGAGTTTGATTCTAGGGGTAGAAACGTGGCCTAATTTGTTGTGCCAAATTTGAGAGTTAAGTGAATTATTTTGTGAAATGTTATTTATGGATTTAAGGGGTACGGTAGAAGAAGTTGAATGCAGGACGGTTGTATTTTGCGAAGTCGAGGATGAACAAGATGATACGGACCATGCGAGTTGTTTACCCAATCCAATCGTCCTCCAACATGCAAGGTCCCGAATAATGCAACGATCGATTTGAAAATAACACAATAATCGAGTTAGAGCAAAGTTTGCTAGCAGAGATGAGATTAAAAGAAAAAGTAGGAACGAGAAAGGCCGAATGCGGTATAAAATTAGGAGAAATTTGAACTTGACCAATGTGAGAAACGTGTGTGAGGTGGCCAGTTGGGAGTTTTACAAACGTATTAGTGATAGGTTTGTATGAGGTAAAATAATCAAAGGAACGAGATGATATGATCTGTTGCTCCCGAGTCAAGTATCCAAGTGTGGTTTTTAAATGTTTTAACATTGTTTAAGAAAGAACATGTGAAAACGGAATTACTTGACATTTCATCTATAGGAGCAAAATTAGAGGATATGGTCTTGATAAGAGTTACTATGAGAGTGGAGTTAGGTTGAATAAGAGCCATTAGCTTTGAATACCGGTCCCGAGTGAAGGTGATGCTCGCAGATTGAGTGTTCGCAAGCTAGCAGATTGATGTCCTGCGAGTGAATGTTTTGATTGGAATCTAGGTGATCTTCGGTAATTGGAGGAACATCTACCCGATTGATAGAACTTCATGTTGATCCGAACTTGTTCCTCATTCTTGGAGGGAAACCATGCTTCTTGTAACATTTGTCAACGGTGTGTCCTTCTGCATTGCGGAAGGAACAAACGAGTGCTTCGCAGAATAGTTCCTTTGTGGGTAAAACTTTCTTGGATTCCGAAGATGATTCGAAATCTTCCTTGGTGTCCGAAATAGCCCTTCCATAAAAGGCACTAGCGGTTGTGGTGTCATTGGACGAAGAAGAGCCAAGAGCATATATGAATTGCCTCTCATGCCGAGAAGCTAGAGCAAACACTTTCGTCGATCGAGAGTAGAGGATCCGGCGGCATGATTTGGGACTTGACGATGGAGAAATTGTCATTCAATCCCTTCAAAAATCTAATGACATAATCATTTGATCTATAGTTGCGAATGACGGTGAGTGCGGTACATGTGCACACAGGATTGCAAATACAAGAAGGAATGGGCCTAAGGTTCGTAAGTTCATCCCATAAAATTTTCGGATGAGTGTAGTACTCAAACAACGACGAGTGAGCCTTGGTGAAGAGAGTATAATTCTTCTTGGAGATCGGAGATGCGAAATGCATCTCCTTGAGAAAAACGTTCATGCAAATCATCCCAAATATCTTTTGCGGTATCTAACCATAAAGACACTATTTCGATTGACTCGGAAATAGAATGTAGCAACCATGACAGAACCATGGTGTTGCATCTTTCCTAATAAGGATAAAGATTGTGATTAGGGGTCGGCATCGGGATAGATCCATCAATGAATTTGATCTCATTTTTAGACGAAGGGCCATACGAACCGATCTTGACCAACTGTGATAGTTCGATCCAATGAGAGGAGTTGAAACAAGAACGGAGGCTGGATTTTCGTTAGGGTGAAGAAAATATGGACTTGAAGGAAGTTCTTCCGCTGGTCGTGGAAGATTTATGGGCAAAGTTGCCATTGATAATTTGTATAGAAAAGTGATGAACAAAGAAGATCAAGGAACGACAATGTAGTTGTTTAACAAACCAAGAATAACGAAACAATTGCCAAGTGCTCGATACCATAATGAAATAACAGAAAGAAAAGGTAGCCGGAAGGAAAAATTTCCCACTTTATTAATGTGAACTTGATGGGTATATATACAAGTTTGTAAAAGGAATCTGCCAATAACTAATTCTAACTATCCTTAACTAATCTTATGATTAGAAAATTAATTTTGTAATTAGTTACAACTGTACAAAACCAACTAAGTAACAGAAAAAAGAAAGGTGCCATGCTTCATAAATACAGTAGCAAAGATGCAGGTACAGATCTGAATAAATTCTACAGATGTATACTCTAATGCTTCACATATGCAGCAGTGGGAATGCAGGTGATATGCAGCAGTGGGAATGCAGGTGCAATCGATGACTTCCACTATTTTCCTTCCATTGCAAGGGGTCCCCTCTCCTCAATCTGCTTTTGCATTTGAGGACCAGCTAATGGTTTCTCTCTTCTATTTCTCCTCAATCTGACACAACAGTAAAAGGTTCATCTGGAGGTTTTAGAACCACACAATCTAGCAGCCAGATATGACTAAAGTGTGTGGAAATTTGTACAAATAAAATTAATATTAAAGTCAACAAACTGTGTTTCTACTAGTTGTTTTTTTAGGTTTTTTATTTTTTACTTTTTATTATTTTGTTTCCTTGACAATTTGCACAGACAAGTAGAGGCTGACTTGGATAGCCTTCTACTACTTGCTTTTATTTTTGTTTTAATTTTACCCCTTTTTTACCTACTTGATAGGCAGATGTTTTATTTTAACCTTTATGAATACGATTAATTATATTAATTATGAAATCAAGAAAGGATACAAGTACACTACATGAACAGGGAAAGGACCCAATAAGTCGATAATAAAGAACTTCCTAGCATCTACCTAGAGCTAAAACCAGGAGAAAACAGCAGATTTCAAAACGTCGTTACATAGAAAAATAGATAAAAGGTATTTTTCGGCACCTTCTTGAATTCCCTTTCTTTTAAACCACAAGTTCCAAACTTTTTCTTTCATAAGCAGAAAATTCAAACAACATTAATTACATGTTGAACTCAGCAGCCTGCAGACTTGACTGTCAGGTTGTGGGGCGTAGGTCCAGGAAAGGTCATTTTCTGGAAATTTATGTGGTAAATATAGCGTGTAAATGAAGTTCTTGAACTGACGATCGAATTAGAGAAGAAAATTAGGGAAGTAGAGAAATCTCATGAAGTAATTGTTAATAGTCGAACATACGGATACAGAGAATACTCTCATAGCATCCGTACGTGCATCGTGGTCGCTGATAAGTGTATATAATATGTTTTAATATTTTAAATAATTAAAAGATTTAGACATACAATAAAAATTATATAACAATAATTGTGATAATTTGAGAGGAATATTTTTTTATTTTGATCAATTAAAAAAAAAACATGTAATTAATTATTTATTTTAGTAAATCAAATCAGTTAAATCAATTTATATTAGAAGAGTGTTTAATTTTACTTAATGAGTCTATAAAAAATACAAAAATAATCATTAATAATGGAGATTTTTTTAAGTAAATAATAAAAAAATAAAAGCATTAGAAAAAGGGAAAAAAAACTAGGTTGGGCTCACACCAGGCCTTTAATTAGATCATTATGCATCAATTTCAACTAGTATATAAATGAATCTCGATTCAGCGGTGTTGCAGTGCAACCACCCATTAATTAGCAACGGATCCTAGATTATTTGATGCTGCTTTCACTGGAAATGTGAATGCCTTACTAGAATTTACTTCAACAAGATCCTCTCATTCTCCATACTTTGACACTCACTACATCCATCACACCTTTGCACATTGCTGCACTCCTCGGTCATGCCGAGTTTGCCATGGTGGTGATGCAATATTGTCCTCGATTTGCCACAGAAGTTAACCAGCAAGGTCTTACTCCCATTCACTTGGCCTCGGCAAACGGTCACTGGGAGATTGTACGGGATATGTTGGCTTGCAAACCTGATCTTGCTTTCATTAAAGACAAAGATGGAAAGAATTTCCTCCACACTGCTGCCACTAGAGGAAGAATTCAAGTCTTGAGAGAGGTATTTTCAACTGAATCAGCAAAAGAGCTTACATCGAATGGTGAGACTATTCTACATCTTGCTGTTAAACATAATCAATACCAGGCACTAGAGACTTCAATTCAGCTTGTTAATCAACACCAAATTGGAAACGAACTTTTCAATGCCAAGGATAAGGACGGCAACACCATCCTCCACCTTGCTTGTGCTAGAAAAGAACCACTGGTATGCTATCTGCTTTATATTCCTGCTAGGGAAGAAACTATAATATTTCAATCCTTCACTGTTTGACTCTCCATGCATATACATAGCATTGAGTTTTAGATTTGATGGCTTAGGCCTTTTGCTGATTGGTCCTTAGTTATTTACATGCTGCTTTCTTTATTTCTTTTCCCACAACATGGAATTTCTAACACCCCATCTCACCTACAACCCGTAAGCTTTTTCTAAGGTTGTTGCATGTTTGTTTTTTTGTCTTTTTAAGGTCTCCTTTTGTACCACACAATTGCTAGTCGAGAAATTTTATAATAATCAACGAATAATTATTAACGGCTACTGTAGACAAAAAAAAAAAAAAAGGTTGAAATGTTTTTATCGCTTTTTTTTTTCTGTCTGGATATTCTTTTTTTAAGCCTGATTTTTTCTGATAGTAAGAAGTATTTGTTTGCAGATGATGAGACTTCTAGTATCAGATCAGACTAATTTGGATTTGGATGTGAATGTGGGCAATTCAGAAGGACTTACTCCTCTAGATATCGTGGAGAGATCGATGATAAGTTCCAATGAAGATCAACAAATACAAGAAATACTTAAACAAGCTGGAGCAGTGCCGTCAGGAAAGGCACGAGAAAAAGACTCGAGACATTCAACAGGAAAAGATATTCTGGATCCAGTAAAAAATGGTATGGGTATTCTGGCAGCTCTGTTTGGCACAGCATGTTTCCAATTAGGAATGAATCCTCCAGGAGGTGTTTGGAGTGAATGGGCCACTGGCACCAACCCCAATAGTACTTTTCATGCAGCCTCGGTTGACAATAACAACAGTACTTATATGGATTTCTGGTTTTCGAAATTGCCAATGACAAAGTTGGTAGGTCCTTCCCATTTGAAAGTCAGTGAAGCTTGTCAACACAAACCTGGACTATCAATAAGTTGGGAATATCAATATAGGCATTTCCTTCAATTTAACCTATATAATGCAATTTGCTTTTTCTTGTCGATGTGGATCATTGTGCTTTTATCATCAAGTGCAATTTCCAGAAAGAATGCTCTGTCTTCCGTCAATATGCTGTCGACCATAATGTGGTTTCTGTTATTGTTTGCTATGATGGAGTTTGTAGTAGGGATGGCTCTAGTTACAAATGATGCGGTGGCTCGAAATATCGCGTTTCAAGCTGTAATTGTTGCTGCCGGCGTTCTAATTGCTGGAATTCCGGTTGCATTGTTTTTTCGTTATAGGTAAATAAATTAAATCATGATTGTCTGGTTTTGTAATTTTCATTATGCTCACGCTATTAATTTCTTCCCACACTTTAGTGTTTTTCATTTCGAATTATTTAATTAACATATTCCTTGCAGGTTATATTTAAGAATTATTGATCAAATCCGTTGGCTCTACAACATTGCTAAAGCAAAGGTCTTCAATTTCTTAATTCTCCATTGATGACTTGAATTTGATATAGGTTTTTAACTGCAAGATTTCCTTTGTAAGAAAACCAAAAAATATATCTATATATTTGTGACGTAACTACATATGTAAGGTTGATTTCAAGAGGCATATATATATATATATATATATATAATCTTTGTGTGTGCGTGTGAGTATATCTCTACTTATTAATTTTCATTTCATACATATGATATTACCTTTTCTTTTTCAGAAATACTTTGGTCTATGAATTTTCGAATACTCTTTATAATTGAGGCTTGTGATATGATTTTATAGTCTTCGTTAACATACTCCAAGTGAATGAGATTAAAGCTTGTATCGACCCACAACCACATTGTACTTGTTTTTTTATTAGAAAAACATCATATGATGATATTAGAAGAACATGAAAATATATTTTAGTTACCAATGGATGTAGGTTTCAATTAGAAGGATGAGGGTAGAGATACATGCCTTTTACAATGAAAAATAAGATTGATGACATAAGATTGATAACAGAAGAATTGTGAGTGAATGGGAATTGGCAGGGTGACAATTTTGTCCTGATCAACTCCTCGACAATATGATCACAAAAGCTAGAACCTTAATGTGTAGTTTAATATAGAACTTGGAGGCTAAAGTTTTGAATTAATGGTTTTTATTCATCCTTTTTTTTTTATTATCAATTTTTATCCTTTCAAATGATGCACATTATAGGAAGACACTAATAGATTTTCCATTACTTTATTTCCAAAAAAGGAAAAACAAGAAGAAGAAACCCTAACATAAATACAAGCCAAGCCTCACGTATTCAAGTAAGGAAAAACCATTCAAAAGTACTTCCTGTAAAACTCAACTATATATCGGCTGCTGTAATCACCTTTTAATTAGACCCTAACAATAGTAAACTAACTACGAGAAAGTTGCATGTAATCTATAGTTCAACTATAGGTCTAAACCCATAAAGTTTTCAACAAATTTCTCAAACAAAACCAAATGAATATGAATTAATGGACCTGCAATTCAAATGAAATGAGCTAATTAAGCCTTGAAAAGAATATCCGGTTCAATATATATATATATTTCCAGATACCTTAATTACCACAGTTTAAATCCACAGATTTCCATTAATTACTTAATTTCTTTAATTTCTAGGGGACTAAAATTATGACAAACAGTAACTGCTTGCGCATACCTTGTATTTTATATCTATTTTTGCACTAAAAACTGCAAGACAATAATTATAAACAATTTCACGTACATTCATAGCTATTACGTACCCCCTACCTTGGTCCTAATTAAAGATACTATCCATCTTTTCATTTTAGTATGTTAAATTTTAGTTTTGGGCTCGCAAGCCCAACAAATTCAGGGGACTAGTTGAAAATTACTAGGCCCACCTGTCCTCAGCTTTTTAAAAGGCTCATTATTTCAATAGAGGCAAAGAACACTATCTTTTGCATTTCACTGTACCTAATAATATATAGTAGTATGTGTACTAAAATCAGTCATTTTATTATTATTATTATATATACAAACCATTTAATTAACATATTTTTTTATTTAATATTTCTTTTAAAAATCAGAAACTATTACATGTTTTTTTTTCAGATGCGTGTCACAAGGTTTTGGTCTCTCGTCTTTTTATTTTTGTTTTCATTAGGGTAGCATTTTTCAAATGCGTGTACGAAGGTTTCGGTGCCTAATCTTTGGATGGAGAACGGCACGCCGCTTGTTATGTATCTGATTGCTCTGAATGGTTCGAAGATGCCCATTTTGGGAGAGACATTGAAGATGAAGTGAGAACTAGGGTTTCGAATTGGATTTAACTGGAGGGAAACGGTGATGGTTTTTTGTACTTTTAGTTGCTATTTGCTAATCGGGAATAGAATGGTAGGAATGGAAATGAAAATTTTATTCTCGCATTGTAGTTGTTTGGTTAAAAGGAATAAGTGAGAATGGGAATGAAAATTTACACACAACTTCATTTCACATAAGATGTGGGAATAAAAAATAAGGAATGAGAATGAATTTTTTTTCAAAATAATATATTTTATTTATTTATTATCCGTTAATTACTTTTGCCACCACCACCATTACAACAACCACAATCACCACCGTCACTATCTTCATCACCATCATTACTACCACCGCCATTACCACTACCACAACTATAACCACCGCCATCACCACCACAACCACTACCACTACTAACATCATCATAACCACCACCATCACCACAACCATCATTATCACAATCACAACCACCATCACTACCGCAATCATTACCGTCACCACCACCATCATTAGAACCACCACAATCACTACCATCACCTTTATTATTTTTATAACTATTATAGTTTAATAAAATTATTTTTTAATCATTATTTATATTTGTATACAAAATCGGATATTAAAAAATTTAAATTGCATTACGATTCCTTATTAGTATTCCAAATACGGTATTGAAATACAAATACCATTCGATTCCTTAATTTTAATTCGATTCCTATATTTTTATTCCCATCACTTTATTCCCGATTACCAAACGACATCTTAGGGGTTTAGAATTGAAAGAGAGAAACCCTAGCTAAAACCTTTTGATGAGAGTTTAGGGTTTAAAGGAGGAAAAAGAAAGATGGAACGGCAACGTTTACTAGTAAGGATTTACGCGAAATGTTTCTTGTTATTGTTTGGGCTTGAATTATTTGGGCGGGCCTATACCCATTATTTATTTTTGATGGACGAGGCAAGCAACACTTAGGCTTCATTTATTTGGCATAAAACAACTTTCATAAAAAAAATCAATCACTAAGGAAGTTATTTTTTAAAAAATTATTTTTTTAAAAAAATATTTTCTATTGTTTGACAATTACATGAAAAAGCTGTTGAAAAATATATTATAGCATTTGTTTGATAGAGAAAACTAAAATACAAAAATAATATGTGATTGTTATATCAACAAGTTTTGATAAAATTTCAAAAAAGTATATTCATAATTTCACAATATAAAATACATCTAAAAATTTTTAATAAATTTTTCATAAATATCGACTCTAAAATTTGAATTTAAAAAAATAAAATATATTTTTTTTAACTATCAAACCAATTCATCAAAATTACTTGGGACAAAATCAAGTCAATATTCACATTTAATAAAAAAAAAAAATTCTAAGTAATCCTAGCATTGTTATTTTGGAAACTCAATTAAGAATTCTTTTTTTTTTTTTTAAGAAATTGAACTGATAATTTAGTCTAAAAAATAATTTTATAAATTATTAGTTATCATTTGTAGATAACTATTCATTTGGTTTCAAAAGATTAACGTTAAAATAATTTGTAACTAATTATTCACTACAATTACCAAGAAAATTTTACAACTGATTAAAAGTATAAATTATTGATTTGGTTGCAAATGAATAGTATTGGAGAAATAATGTATTTATTAATGAATTAATTAATTTTAATTTTTTTACAAAAAGTCTGCAGTCTTGTAATAATCATTTTCAATCATATAAGTATAGTGTAAGTGGTGTTTGAGATAATAATAAAAAAATAAAGATAAATTATTGAAATATTTATTATAAAAATAATTTTAAGGTGTAAAAATGAATTTTAAGAATATTTAATGTATCTATAAATCAAAATATCAAATATTAGTAGAAATAGAGAAAATAATCAAACAATAAATAATAATTGATAAGGAATAATTAAAAATTAATTTGATATATTTTAAATGAAAAGAAGATAGAGAAAAAAATTGTTAAAATATATCGAGAGAGAGGTAAGTAACGCAAGGGTGAGATAACTCGTGAGAAGAAAATTGTTTTTCTCTTTTTAAACTAGGAAAACATTTTCTCAAAAATACTTTATCATTTTTCATTGACTGGAAATCATTTTTCGTTGACTTTTTTCTTAAATATGAAACAAATACTAAAAAATAAAAAAAATAAATTCCTAAAACTTATTTTTCTCTAAACAAACACAACCTTAGAGCACAATTTGTTTTTTTGAGCCGCATTGGCCCATATATTTCATTATAGTTAGAGAACAATTTGTTTTTTTGTTGTCGAAAAGAGCGAGTAAAAGGTAGGTAGAAATTCCTCCATTGCTCAAGGAATGCTCATCCTTTTGCATTCTATTTATTTAAATTAAGCCACATGTAATTATTTATAACATAACAAAAGAAAAAATGAAGCATATCAAATTTAACGTGTGATTGTCAATTAGTATATATATTTTAATTTAAGTTCTTTGAAAATTTTCTCATCAATTTTTGTAAAATTGATGAGTTAATGAAAGATATTTTATCAATTGTTGCTATGGGAATGATGGATTAAAAAAAGTTTAATTACAACAGTTTGTTGAAATATAGTTCATAAATGATACGAGAAAATGAATTTATAAAACTTTAAAATTGACAAAATGTTCTTGAAAAAAAAGCTAATTTTCAACCTTGTTTTTGGCTTTGTATTTCTAAACACATTTAAATTTACTTTTCAGCCAAAAAAAAAAAAAAAAAACTTCCACCATTCTTGAACCAAATCAATTTTTTATATATGATCATTGTAAGTTTAAAAAAATGCCAGACAACATATAATATATGTTGATTATCTATAATTAATCTTTTTAGTTTTGAAAAGTAAATTAATTAGTTTTTATTTTAAAAAATAATCGTTTAATTTATTAATCAATATTGACCTACTTAATTTAATTTTGCTTTATTTTATAATATGTTTTATTTTCGAATCCATCTTTCCATAATATTTATTTATTTTAAAAATTATTAAATAGATAAAAAAATTAAATGATTAGTTTTTGAAATAGAAGAATAATTAATTAGTTTTTCGAAACTAGAAAAATTAACTTCTAATTTTTTTTTTGATAGTAGAAAGATAGATCATTAGCCAAAATGACTGAGGTACAACTGGGGGCTGAGACCCCATACATGGTGACCTGATGTGAACCAATTGTCCTTACAAGGGTGTGGGCTCCTCCTCTTTCCCTCACTTCATTTCTCTCTCTCTCTCTCTCTCACTCTAATCTCAATAATTCCACGCACTTTCTTCACTTTCAAAATTTCAACCACATTTATAATTTATTTTTGGAATCTTCAGATGCCACCCTCCTTCTATGATCTTTCTTTAGTGCTCGCCTTTGCTTTTCACGGGATCCGTGTCAATGAAATAGTAATAATAAAGCGCCAAAATCTTCCGTGATAATAACCTAACTTTTGGAATCTTCAGATGCCACCCTCCTTCTATGATCTTTCTTTAGTGCACGCCTTTGCTTTTCATGGGATCTATATCAATGAAATAATTTTAAGCTTTTTTAAGCTCAAAAGGCAAGCTTCAAAAGAAACCCAGTAAGAAAATTATAAATCCGAGCAGATTTTTTGGCTTAGGCCAGCTCAATAAACAAGAAAGAACCAAACTTTTGAAGAAATGAAACAAAGGGGTGGACTTCGAAGTGGAAAAAAATATAAGAGGTTAGTTTGTTAAAAAGTGAGTGAATTTTCCCAGCGATAAATTCCGGCAAAGTGGCCGGAGAAATGGTGAAGAGAACAAAAAGCAGTAAAAAAGAAGAAACGGGTTTTCATGGGATAGAGTTTTTTATGAGTTTTTCAGATACCAAATGTTGAAGCTTTGCCCACTTTCTTCCCCCAACATTACTGAGACAAATTTCCTCCCTTTTCCTTTGCTTTCCTTTCTACGCTTTTGCCTTGCTTTCTTACACTTCTCTTTCTCTCTCTTTGCTTATTTTAAATTTTTTCTTTCTTTCTCTCTCCACAATATTTTAAACCTTTTTCTATTTCTCTCTTTATCAATTTCTATTTCGTTATGCCTATCTCTTTCTCTCTCTCTCTCTTTCTGCCCTTGAAAATGGCACTGATTTCTCACAGCGAAGCAGCTACCTTCCTTCCTTCGTTGTAAATGTGCATAACATAATTTTATAATTATTAAACATGATTAGCCTGACTTTTGTAACTTCAACTAGCAATATAGCTATAGAAAATGTGTGGGAGTAATTAAATAATCTACCTCTGAAAAAAAAAATATTTTCTAAACCTTTTTCTTGAAAAGAGTGATACAAAGCGATCAACCAACCCACTACAGGCAAAAAAAAAAAAAAAAATACATATATATATATATATATATATTTTTTTTTTTTCAAGACTTTTTTCTGAAAAAGAGTGATGGAAAGTGATCAACCAACCCATTTCTGAAAAAGAGTGATGGAAAGTGATCAACCAACCCATTACAGAATATATATATATATATATATATTCCGAGACTTTTTCTACAAAAGAATGATTTCTTTATTGGCCATTTGCTTTGACCATGACCATCAGTCTCCACTGTCCCTCTTTTCCATATCATGAAATTATGATATGGAAACAATTTTAGTTTTCAAGAAGAAATTGGATTTTATAATCCAGTCGGATGCCTTCAAATAAAGAATTTTTTCTTTTTAAAAAAATACCAAATTTACGGGCAAAATCTCCGACCTAGTTGAAAAAAAAAACTTTATTTCACCTCAAAATTAGAGATGTTTTGAGGATTTGTTTTTACAATTAAAAAAAAAACATACTTTAGCTCTTGTTTAATGTAAGAAGTGATGAATTTAGTATTAATTGATAAAAAAAATGAATTTAAAAATATTCGATTATCAATAAATATCAAAAAAAAAAAAAAATTAAAGAGATTTTATTCTGTGCACAAATTTATGAAGATGAAATTGTTTTTCAGCCTTTATTGTTCCCTTGGAAGACCTTGCATTAGTGGATGTAGATAGATAATGAT